AGCTGGCGATGACCGTTCCATGAGTTCCGCCGCAGCATGGGATATGGCAATGCATCACGACCGGCCTGCGTCGGGTGCTGTGCATCAGATGTGGTATAACGCTCATCGTGCTACCCTCGGTCGTTCCATCAACAAGGTGCTCGAACTGCTTCAAAATCTACAAGAAATGAATGCTTCCTGGCCCGCACATTATCCTTCCGTTCAACGAGCTCGCCGCGACTCCTCCGAACACTCCTCACGGCCCGCCTTTGCCCATGCCCACACGGGTATGGAAGGCAAAGGCTCGTCCTCTTTCCGAAACCCTGGTTTAAGACGTGCCATGACGACGGTCGAAGACGGTTCCGCCGAATCGAGTCGAGCCGCTGAGACTCGATCTATACCCGAGCCCCGACTTGTTTCACCACAAATTGCTCAAGAGTTTTCTATTTTGAAGCTCGACCTCAAGCTCGGTGCTCTCCACCAGACCGAGCTTGTGCACTCATTGGAAAAGAGCTCCATCGCATCGCTCCTCGACGGCAAAATTAGTTCCAGCATCAAACATCTGCTAGCTCTCCGCGAACGAATCGAGGATACTGCAAGCAAGGTTCTTATTACAGGCGATCTCAACGCTGGCAAGTCAACTTTCTGTAATGCTTTACTCCGTCGAAAGGTTCTTCCTGAGGATCAGCAGCCTTGCACTGCTATCTTTTGTGAGGTGCTGGATGCTAGGGAGAACTCTGGTGTGGAGGAGGTACATGCGGTGCATAAGAACGTGCCCTACGACCGAAACGATGAGTCGACCTACGATGTTTTCTCACTGAAGGAACTCGAGAACATTGTCATCGACAATGAGACTTACACTCAGTGCAAGATCTATGTCAAGGATAGCCGAAGCATTGATGAATCTCTCCTGAACAATGGCGTGGTGGATATTGCCTTGATCGACGCTCCCGGTCTGAATTCCGATACAACCAAAACGACTGCCATCTTTGCCCGACAGGAGGAGATCGATGTGGTCGTGTTCGTGGTTTCCGCCGCCAATCACTTTACCCAGTCTGCCAAGGAGTTTATTTGGGCTGCTGCTGCTGAGAAGGCCTACATATTCATTGTTGTGAACGGATTCGATGTGATCCGAGACAAAAAGCGATGTGAGAAGATGGTTCTTGACCAGGTTGCCGGTCTCAGTCCCCGAACCCACAAGGAGTCCACCGAGCTTGTGCATTTCGTGTCCAGCAACGCCATCCCTGTCGGCCCCTCGCCTCCTGGCGGTCCTGGTGGCAGCGGTAGTTCAAGTGGAGGCAGTGGTGATCCTGGTGATGGTGATGACAAGGGTAAGGGTAAGGATCTTGACAAGGTGCGAGACTTCGAGGCTCTGGAGCAATCGCTGCGAAGATTCGTGCTTGAGAAGCGTGCACGATCGAAGCTTGCACCTGCTCGAACATACCTGCTCAACATTTTGAATGATGTCAACACCCTTGCAAATGTTAATCAGGAAGTTGCTCAATCGGAACTGGAGCGAGTGACCCAGGAATTGAAGGAGCTTGAACCTCAGTTGGAATCCAGTCGAAGGGCAAAGACCGAAGTAAGCGAGTCAGTTGATGCCAACGTTGAGGAAACATGCAAGGACGTCTACGACTATACTCGAAACACTCTCAACTCGGCCATTCTCCATTCTGGAAGCAGCCACTACGATGTACCTTACCCCGGTATCTGGAATGCTTTCCAATATGCAGAGGACCTCAAGGAAGCTATGCTGTCTCGCATCGCAGATTCTGTTTCGAACTGCGAAGAGTATGCTCGCAGAAAGACCGTGTATGGCGTCAATGCTATCAAGCAACTGGGTATCCTGCACGTTGGTGATGAGTTCCAGAACCTCCAATTCCGACCTGATGTTATGTTCCGACGCAAGCGAGATGCTCTTGCTCGCCAGGTCGATATTCCCACAGAACTGATCGACTTTGTCGACTGGACTACCTTGTTACAGCGACAGGAAAAGTTTGCTGGCACTGGTATGGCCCTTACAGTTGCCGGCGCTGTTGTACCCCGGATGATTGGTATGAACACGTGGATGGACCAGGCTATCACAGCAACTCGCATCTTGAGCAACGAGAACCTACGCCAGCTCATCATTCCTGGCATTCTCGTGGCTGGTAAGTGAACCATGTAACTTTCAAGGATGACAAGTCACTAACCATTAAATAGCTGTTGCTGCCTCTGCTTATGTTCTGCAGCAGATTCCCAACTCCCTGCCTCCTCGCCTTGCTACAAAGATCTCGACTCAGCTTGCTGAGTTGGATTATGTTCACTCCAACTCCTCTCGCATCTCCTCTTCCGTTCGCAAGGTCCTCCGCATTCCGGCTGATAACCTTCGGGTCGGCCTTGACCAAAGCCTCAAGGACTTGAGCGCAAAGCGAGAGGAGACTATCAAGGTCAAGGGCGAGAGTGAGCGCGCCTCTCGTTATTTCCTCAACCTCATCCGCCAGAGCGATAGTGAGCGCGCCAGGGTTGAAGGTGTTGATCTTGAGACCCCGCCAGTTGGCATGCATTGATGATGAGGCTACGGAAATTTGGACGAACACGAGTTAGATGTTTACCGATGAGGTTCACGTTAACGTTTCGGATGGAGACGACAACCAAAAAAGTACGGCGTTAATGGGCAGGGTCGTTCCATATGTAATGCGATGGAAGAACACGAGATGCTCCTGATTTTGTTTTGATATCAACTTCTCTCTCTCCTCATACCTTGTTAGCGAGTCATAGCAGTATGAATTAACTATTGATGCTTCAACCGCTCGATAGCTGTTCGTGGGCGATGCAATACGCCTTGCTAGTAAACACAACTTCACTAGAGTAGACACTTTTCTAATAGCTTAAGCCTAAATGATAACGTCGATATTGATACCACATACATCGGTCTCCTACTTATGGCAAAACAACTCTGTCTAAAGTGATGAACATTCTTGAAGAAGTTGAGGAAAATCTTGGGTAGCTGTGGACAACTTGTTAAGATAAACATAGCAGGCTATGTTTATACTTTGATTTTGTCTCCCAACTGTAAGGATCAGAGTCTTCTGTCACTCTATGGTCGTCATAACATGCAAGCTTCGAGCACTACAGCATAACACCCCCTTGCAGTAGCGATATCAGCTGTCAAACTCACTGTGTCCACATGATATCTCTCAACCGCTCTTTCTCCCGTTCGCCCCCAAATATTCCATCAATAGGCTGTCTGGAAAGCTCACATATAGCCTGGCGATCAAGACCAAAATGTTCCGCCACGAGTCTATATTCGTTAGACAGTGGGCTTCCGAACACACCCACATCATCAGTCTATAATTGTTATCAGTCCTTACGTTCCTCCCCTTGATGAACGCAAGTTCAGTAACTTACGCTGAGTGAGATCTTGGGGCCTTTGACGCCTCTCCAGTGCCCAAAGTGGTGGCCCTCGAAGCCGCCCAACACCATCCCGGCTCTGACATTGCAGCTCAGGCATAACTCGAGACACAGCCCTCTCTTTTCAATCTCCTTCTTGGTCTCTTCGTCCTCCCAGATCACATGTCCAAGCCTGCCCGGTTTCCAAGAAAGCAGCGTGTTTAACTCCTCTTTCGACCCACTTGCCTCAGCTTCGGCAAAGTGAACCGTGATCCCTAAGCCTTTCTTTTTTGCCTCTAGGAACACAGGTGTGAAGACACTTATCTCGCCTGCTGGCCTCGCTGTTGGATCACCGCAGAGATCCAAGCCAACGACTCCCTGCTCACGGTATGTCAGAGCAAGCTCAAGGGTGGAAGCAGCCTGCTCAGGGGTATGTCGTCGATCAACAGCGAGGATCAAGCGAGTGTGCAATTGAGGGTTCTGAGACTCAAATGACGAGATCACATCAAGAAGAGTTGAGATGTACTGCTCTGCTGAGAGCTGAGGCGTGGTGCGTGGTGTTGTTCGAAGCTCGAGATAACAGACGCCATCATTAAGAAAGTCTGTCAATACAGATTTTGTTGTGTCTCGAATAGATTCCTCATCCGTGATAAGGTTATATATGTAACTGCTGAAGAGCGGGAAGAATCTGTGAAGTGTAGTCAGCTTCCTGTTGCTTCATTGATGGAGGCAAGCCTGACGTTTGCAAATTGTAATCATGTTTCCCTTCAGGCATGACGATCAGAGGATCTTCTAGGTCGGTGTTGCCTGTATCCTTTTTACGTAGCCATACCTCATGGAGAGCGCGGCGGGAGATGCTCCCAGTCAAATGGGCGTGAAGCTTGTATATCGTCAATATCAAAAACTGGATCGTGGGGTTCAAACAACCTCTATCTTTGGCAATCTGACGAAGTCCATGGCTGACTTTGTTCGTTTTAGGTGACAGCCACTTATTCAGTGTTAGATGGGAATATGCAGAGCTTCTAGTTGGTCTGTCGGGTGCAATTGCGAGAATTGATACTCATCTATCCATCACAATGCAAGTTAGTGTCAACCAGAATACCTACCCTGAACTTGATGGAGATCCTACTTTGTCACCACAATCATATTACGAGCGATATCTTGGTCGAACGAGCTGCTGTAAAATTGTTTTCAAATTCATTACATTCCGTGACTTTCGCATTCATTGTTATCATCTCAGGCAATGCACGATAACGACAAAACCAAGGTACATGTAGAACAAGCTGTGGTTTATATCAAGCTCACACATAAGTCATCAATGCTACAGCTCTAATGTGACAAAATAGATGTGAAACCGCCTTTCCTGGAGATGAGATCGCAGCCATTACCAACCCCATCTTATACTTTACACCGGTAACCATGCGCCGTGAATGCGTTGCGCTTCTCGTTCCTCCCGGTCAAACCCAGTTGGATCCATCATAGGACTTCATCGGCCATATACGCCGTAAACAATTATTGTACACATGGAAAGCCGCATTTTCCGGCCCAATAATGACTGCGCCTAGCAACAAAAGGCACTGTCTAAGATATCCTCATACCCAGAAACGTAAGGTTCAGGTTTTTCGATTGCGTGACTCCAACTTATTTGTTTACAGAGAGGGTTGGGCAGGCTTGCCATCGAGGGCGGCGCCAACTTGGTCAGCGGTGCTCTGCTCGGAGCCACCGGTCAAAATCTCACTGCCGCTTTGTCGCATGTTGTACTCTTGTTCCATGGCAGTGAGCTGTTGATCCTCGGCGAAAGACAGAGCGAAGGGAACACCAAAGAACAGGGCAGAGGTGGTGAGCACCCAAGCGCCCTTGCCACTGAAAGAGAGAACGTTCCAGGCAGCGTTACCGATGGTGTTGGCCTTGCCGGAGATCCATGAGCGAGTAGTTGGGGGGACGATGTCGCGCAGGGCGTATAGTCGCTCAGCAAGAGTCTCTTCTGAAGGATCGTAGTCGGACTCGTTGGAAATCTCGGAGTCTACAGGCGTTGTTAGCATGAGCAATATCGCGATTAAAGGCGCGGGGTTGTTAATTACCAGTATCAGAGTAGTCATCATCGTCCTCCTCAACATCGGGACCAGCCTGAGGGTGCTGGAAATGCTCGTCCTCAACCTCGGTAAGAGTAACCATCTTGAATAGCTGAAGGTTTGTGTATCGAGTAGTCGATTAATCAAGGTATTAAGAGTTGTTGAAGAGCCTTTGGTGGAGAGGGAATTGCCGAATGGTCGCAGCAAATCACGAGGCTTCTGAATATATCGGAATTGGTGGCAGAATGTGGTGAGATGAGCGGTGTTGACAAATCTCCGCCCGATAAGAAAATACGTTCTCTCAAAGACTGGTTGATGAGTAGGTTGGCGTTGACGTTGGGCGTCACGATGTCATGGGAGTAATTTTTCTTTGGAAGCTGCTTGAGTGCTCCACTTACAACACCCTGGTTTAGCCGATGAGTTCCGTCACCAGCGACTGACGTCACGTGCACCATCCATATACAATGGCCATCAAGCCTCTTACTGCAAGGTACAGGAGGAGCTTTGAGAATGCGAAATGGAACTATTATCATCATTCATAATGCAGATACATTGAATAAAGTCATCTTCATGACATCTTCTGGGACGAATTCTAGCCCTTAGTCAGGAACATATTGTGGTTGTTTTGCAGTATAGCTCCGAGATAATAAGGAGTATTGGTCTCTGCGTATCCCATCATGTTACATCCATTCTACAGTAGAGGTGCGCTTCAGAACAGAGTGCTCGAATAACTCCAGTCTTGGCCAACTCGCCGACACGCATACTGGGTAGTGTCGACCACGGCAATGATCCTGCCGCAACATATTGCAACCGTTCAATGCTGACGATGATATTGGCGGTATAGATGTCACAATCAGGAACCCCACGCTGTTCACTATGACTACGGTAATATTCTGCCGAAGTCGTGTGAGCCTTCCTCGATGTAATGTGTCTTCTTGGTGGAGATTCATATATGTAGAGTTGGTAGTTGGATCTTCCAAAAGGACCGAGACATAAACATGCTGCCTTACTATGCACTGCAGGGCCATATGTTAATGTTCACTGAACTCGGCAAGAATGTGCCAGTCTCGGAGGGAACCAGCCTGTGCCCGGAATAGAAGACGTGCAAGCAATATCACATTGCGTAGTAGAGAGAGACAACTTGAGAAGCTCCTATTGCTTTAACTTCTCAGGAAAGATGTCATGTCCAAGAGATAAAAGTTGGCAAGTAATTTGCCAAACTGATTAACCATACACCTGCGACTTCGCGGCTATGGTTTGCAGCATAAGCAACAGGCACTGAAGTGTTTGTTTTGTCCCGGAAAGAAACCAGGAGGAACATGGGAATGACTTCTTCGGGACCGAGAGTAGCTTTGGCTACAAGGCCATACGCAGCGCCTGACGTCCAGCTGGTAGGCATGGACATTGTGTCTATACTCGTTGTTCCTCGTCCTTGTCACAGTTCGTACACAAGAATGCTGGAACTAGGAAAAGCAGAAAAAGCAAGAGGGAGAGTCATGGACGTATTGCGAGACACAGGAAGGAAGAGGAACGACCGGAAAAGTCGGGAGTGGATGTTTGGAATCTGTCTTGTTGAGTAGTTGGAGTGTTCAAGTTTGACCTAGCTTCTAGATCGCTTTGAGGCGTTGATTTTGGTATCCTGTAAGCAACGAGACTAGTACGTAATTTGTTTATTCCCCTGCTCCAAGGGGTACAACACATGACCTTTAATGGAGCTCGTCAATATTTGACGAGAAGCCATTGGCAATTAAACATCTGGCATCGTGACCTCTTCAGCCCGTTTCACTGTATCGAGATGCAAGGGGATTACGTATATTTGACAAATATAGACCCAATTGCCGTGATGAGCGGTAAACATATCCGATGCAATTGGCACAAGTTTTGGATTACGAAGCCTTGAATGGCAAAATAGTTATACAGGCACGAACCTCGTGATCCGTAGGAAATCTCGTCTACGATACCAAAGAATGCCGTGTGATGTTGTTGGTGTAACTTGTAGACCTGTCGAGGCCGTGATGCCTTGTGAAGGAGTGGATGGATAGACAGGGGACGAAACCGCCGATTGGGCAATCTCTACTCGGACATTCGCTAAGCTTCAGAGGCTCAGGGCAGTTCTTTCTGGACTCGCAATGGAAGAAGCAACATGGTAGCAATGAACGGTACGTACAACCTGATATAGAATGGACGAGGTGTATCTTTTAGGAGACGCTTGGGCCGCCGGCACGGTGTCAAGGTGTCAAGGTGAGCCATTTGGGTAAGTGATCGGGACCCTGGGCTGTCTGGGGAACTTGATGGGAGCTGGAGGTGTTGACAGTGTGTAAGAGACAACCTAAACTGGCCTTTATTTACACGATGTACATGGCTACGACACCTAACTCAACCACACACAGCAGGACTAGGCATGAGCAACTAATTTCTGACAATTATTCCCAACTTTGAACGTAAAGACTCGTCATAAACCTCCAATTAAAAAATATAAAAAAATGCACAAGGTCACATTTGCAATCAACACGTGTCTGTGCCGTTGGTTTGCGTGTACCTGTTAGGAGGGGCTGCCCCGCGATGCGAATTTGAAGAGCAGAAAGAATGGATGTGATATGATGCTGGGATACGGTGACAGCTCCTTGCCATAGCTATTGGCAAGGTACCACAAAATACATTCGTCAAGACCGTCAGGGAAAGCTCCCCGACCCTGTCTGTTTGTTGGTTAGAGAGCTCCGTTCTTTGTGACTGCGTCCTCCGGGTAGTGCTTTGGAGCTCCGGTTCGTCTAAGCTAACTGTTTCCCCCTCACCGCAAGACGCCCGGTATGGGCTCTAATGTCCATGGCGGGCCGTCACTCGTCAAAGAAAGGGTCAATGAAGCTATCGTGATCATGCACGGGCGACCCTGATCCCCGGACGGTGTACCAAAGAAGCATGGGTACCATTGGGTCGAATCCATCTGGTTATAGCGTCGTTAGCCGATCAGATAGATTGGCAGCGGGCACTGCAAGCGGCTCAAGTAGACTAAGGTACGAGGACGGTACCTGAGGATCTCCGGGGGCCGGCAGCACGTTCGGCCGGGTATGGATAGACCAATACTAGAATACCCACAAACAGGGCAGCGCATGGCCTCGATGGTGGAGTTGATTGCTCACCACCTGTGACCTCAGGGAACCTCAATGTCTAGGCGTTCTGGGGGCCCCTCGCTCAGCCACTAGCTGCCGTCGTCGAGGAAAACTCTTCCCCAACATTCCACTTGGTGGCACCTTAAAAATGGCCAGCCAGACACCAGCAAGGTATCGTAGGTACTTGCAGAATACGTACCACCGAACGAAGTGATAATTGACGTCTTTTGTAAACAAGAAAGTGTCCTCAATGAGGAAACAAAACTGGCATTGTGACATGCCTCTTTGATATTATGCCGAAGCTTGCCAGTTTGTCCCCAGGTTTGGCTAGTTGAGAGTTGAGCTGATTGGTCCGTCACTCAAGTAAACCAACCATGTGCCAGCTTATTATGACAACAGTGCGTATTTGACTTTCTTTACAATTCATCATCTGGCTCAAAAGAACTTTTTATTGCCGAAATTCGAAATAATATGCAGGTGATCATGAACACGAGGAGCATATAGAGTAATCTCTCTGAAACAAGACCGGAAAAGACGGCTTCCATTGAGTCGATGATGTGATGAACTCAGGAACCTGTAGCAAGAACAAAAATAGAAATTTCTACGACAAGCCCAAGCCAAATGGAAGCTCGAAAAAAATAGGTGGGTAACTATGTACGGTACGCTACGGTACGTTTCTACATATTCACACATCCAGCGTAACGCTCATACGGTGCCTTAAAAGGGCAGCTGGGTGGAGACATATTCGAGATGCATTCGTAACGCAGGACACAACTTCGAGATGCCCCGTAATCGTCGTCAACAAGCGGTTCATGGTGGAGGCGTGATTATCATGGACGGAGCATTGGGAGTGTACCGTATTATCTAGAATGGAGACAGAGGCCCTCGTTAGAGATGATGAGATAACGGTTTCGATGGTGGAACAGCACGTCAGCGATTCAAGTATCATCATTACGAGAAGGTAACCAGGATGTGATTATAGGCGACTTGGGTGTTGTAAGCCAATGGCTCAACTGTAAGATACACGGCAGGCAAACGACCACTCATACTGTATCTCAACCTGGTAAAGGCATGATCCGACAATCCAGCCAAGCTATTGATCCAAGATCCTTTTCTTGACCTTCCCCAGATTATGAGAGCTCAGGGCATGTAAACTACGTATCGTTCTATTACAAGCCACAGCAAAGCACAGGCACAATCAACTGACAGCGCAATTGGCCAATGAAATAGCAATTGAAAGCTTAAAGGTCACGCGGGATGTGGGCGTGACAACGCTCAACCGCCAGGCTGAGATTATGGAAATAGAAGCCAGGAAACACTCATCTCCGAACATCGTGGCCAAAACAATATTGTCGTCAAGGGAGCGCGCCTCACTCAGCCAGCCAGGTCCAACGAACAGCCCTAGCCACACCCCCTAAAAAGGAGTTCGATCTATGGATGTTTTTCTGCCCACCTCGTGACGCGTTAACAGCGTCCGCCTCCAAGCGCCGGATGCGGGGTGCAGTGAAAATACAGGGAAGATTTGCTAACCAAAGACGCCCGTGACAAACCAAAAAGGCCACGAGACGGCGGCAAAGTAAAAGCAAGAAAGCTTGGGGACGGCTCTCGGGGCCACAGGGCAAGCACGCAACTCGCTGCGATTCCAACAATAGGTAATGCAATGGATACCATTTCCCCTAGGGGTTGGCTCGTTGGTGTAAAATTGACTGGCTGTGCCGTGCAGTGCAACAAAGGGAAACGGTGGGTGTCACGGAAGCTGCAAGATCAAGTAAAACGGGGGTAATGGAAACGACGGGAGATGAGATGTAAGCGGGTCGTGGGGAAAGCTATGAAGTTTTTTTTTCTTTCTTGTCCTTGTGCACAGATCCAGATCAGGCTCAGGCTGGGGAAGACTGGAGCCATGGGCAAAACCTGGGGGTAATAGAAATCCAGATCCAAGTTTAAAAGGCCTTCTCGGTGCTGCCGGACCTCGGCCGTGTGGGGCCTTCCGGGCGAGTCCGGAGCCTTTGCTTGTCCCGGAGCTTTGAGTGAGAGTGGGTGCCGGACTCCGTTGCTTGTGGGACAGGGACGTATTTTCGCGTTCCTTTTGAGTAACACCTGGAGAGAGGAAGAGGGGTCAGAAACTCAAAACATTGAGGGGGATTGTCCAGAGTCTGGAATCTGGGGTAATGGAGAACTACTCCTGTTCCAGGTCAGATGAATCATTAAAGAGTAGTATCGTTGATGACAACAGGACAGCTCAAGAACGAACAGACCAGTCTTGTCTTAACTCTATCATTCAAGAAAGCCATGATATGTTGTGCAACTCCCGTCTTATGCCAGAGTTGCCCTTCGTTTCGCAATAGAAACCCCTCGTGCTGCAGTCAAGTGCTCCTCGACCTCAACCATTGTGTCATTGATGGTACCCCGGAGAAGGTACCTGTACGTAAGTACCGAACCAACGGCCCCGCGACGGCCGGAGGAACCTTGTAGTGGTCCGGCTCCTTTCGATAGCGACAGGTCAGAGCCTACCGGTGTGCTGTGCTCTCCCTTGCTCCCTTGTCTACTTGCTTCTATCCTGGGGAAGAAGGGTGGGAAGCATCACCTTGCCAACACATTTTTTTTTTTAACTTCATGATCTTGACTGTTACTGGATATGGAGAATGGATCTCCCCCAAGGTGAAATTATTCCCCCTAGAAATCGAGACTAGTCCCGGCCCCGTGATCGTCCCCCTTTAGAACGGCTAAGGTCTGGAAAGTTCGGTGAGCACAGGCTTTGCTTTCTTCAAGTCAGGTGAGCCAGATTTGGGTTCTATTGTCTGGGGTAAGAGGGCATTTCAGCTAGTTCGCCTGGCATCTGCTGCTGCGGTCAGCGTTCAACGCCAGCTTCCCGTCTGGGGTAGTGAGTCGTGTAGGAATTTCGGTTCAGGTACCGTACCCTTTGAGGCGGATTCTTGGCTTGTCAAGATTTTGACGGCTTAGAACGATATCAATTGAGCAAGGTTCCATTGAGGTGAACTACTCGTCGCTTGTTGGCAGGCTCAGAACCAACCAAAGCATATACATAGTTTCTTGGCTGATGCGAAATCCCAGCATTATCTTACACCACGTAAACCATGGGCTGACACAATTGTTGATACATGGGCCCATTGAAGACGACTTTGTTCGAAACTACATGACATTTATCAAACATGCTCTAAATAGATAGATATCACTAGAAGTCCATGTCAAAGATGCAGGCGATCCATTTTCTTTTTGTACGAATCATCATTCTTGTTGAGCTGGCCGTTTCGCATGTCAGAACTGTAAGGTTTATGTT